ACCTAAAAAATAAAAAACTAAATATAATCAATGTTTATGAAATTTTCACATAGATAAAAAAAATTTAAGATGATATGAAATAAAATAAAAACTATCCGAAACATCACAAATAAAAATAAAATAATCCAATCGAATAAGAAACTGTGTAATAATAATATTTGCGAATGCTATTTGGAAATTAGAATAGTAATGGTATATTGAAAAGTTTTTAATTAGAAATAATAATTAAGGATTAAAAATATATTTTAAAATCAGAATGATTTATATGATTCGTAAGTTACGTTACGAAAATCAATATTAAGAATATTATACATAATCATAATATACGTCAAATTATTTATGTGAATTTGTTGTTTGTATTTTTCAAACGGTCAAGATAACGTACAAAATTTGATATTGAAATCTGATGTTTGTGAATATGAATGAGTCCATGTATGAGATTTATAGTTTATAAAGCAATTTTAAATGCACCAAACAAGGTCAAAGAAAGTATATGACAAATATCTCCCGAGATTTTCAAATGTTCACTTTAATAAAAAGATCATGCCACTTATAAAAAATATGGGTATTGAAAGATATGAATGAAAAAATATATATGATCTATTTTGAGAACTAATTCATAGTCGAGTATATTATATGTGAGCCAATATAAGATGAAAAAAATATAAGGTGAAAAGAAAGTAGATGTCGGAGACGACGAGTGAATCATAGAAGATAACAAAAAAAAATTGAAATAAAAAGTGAAAAATATTTATTATTATGGACATATAATGAAAATGAGTAAAGTAAAATGTTTTAAAATTTAAATTATTCAGAAATTCGCATTGATAAAAATTTTAAATTAAAATTCCGCGCAACGCGCTGGTATATAATCTAGTGAATTATAATTTGGGCCCCATTCTATCGTTTCTGTCATCTCTCGAGCAACTAGGTAGCCTGACTTTACTGTATATCTTCTTGATTTTGTATGATGCCAAATAAGCCTATACGGTTTATAAACTTGACTAATAGTCAGTCCTCTAATAAGCTGAATATCAACTGGATCAAAAAATTCTTGTAAAATGGGGAGATGCCATTTTTTAGAAGCCGGATTAATTAAATGGTTAACCATCATACTTGGAAGTAATGTTTTTCCTCTTCCATTTGCGGGTCTTGGATTAACATCAGGAATCCAAGGATCTCGCCAAACCGATAAGTCGAAACCTGAACCTAATGACCATCTAGCTTCCGCTTCCGCTTCAACTAGTCTTTTAGTCGAAAAAATACTCTTCCATCCAAACGATGGAGAATTTGTTTTTTTTTGCTTGTAAAAGGGTGAATATTCCTGAAATATCTACCTTTCAGCACTCGAGCTACTAAAGAGTTCGGATTTTGGATTAATCGCCAATATTGTTTGGCCAAAATGGCATCATTAAAAATATCTAGGGAATGAAAGCCTAAACCTCCTTCTTCTTTATCCTTACACATTTTCTCCCATGCTATCCAATGGATCCCACAATCTCTCCCATTGGAGCTCCACCAATAATTGAAAATAGCACTTGTTAACTTAGAAGTTAACTCTTGAGGGAGTTTAAAACAAGACATAATATAGGTCGGGAGTGCTAAAGCCAATGATTTGATCATTGTTTCTTTCCCATCTTTCGACAGAAATTTAGCTGACCAGCCGTTAATCCATTCGTTAAGTCTTTCCCAGACATAATTGAAAATTTTACTCTTCAGCCTCCTAAGCTCTCTAGTATACCCAAATAGGTATCCATACCACCTTCCTTAGTGATTCCAAGGATGTTTTTAAGTTGATCTTTTTTTGGGTTGCTACGCGCTTACCAAACATAACCGATGATTTACTGAGATTTATCTCTTGCCCTGAAGCTTTACCATAATTCCCAATAATATCCATCACCGCTTTACATTGCTCTGTATCCGCTTTACAGAAAAAGGGACTATCATCCGGAAAAAGCAAATGTGAAATTTTCGGGCTTCTTTTCGCTATCTTAATTTCTGTCAGCTTCTTCTCTCTTTCCGCCTTGTTAATATTTGCAATCAGTACCTTCGTACATAAAAATAAACAAATAAGGCGAAAGGGGATCACCTTGGCGTAAACCCCTTTTGGGAATAATATTTCCCCTCGGTTCTCCATTCAATAAAACCAGATATGACACCGAATTGACAGTCCACATGATCCAAGAAACCCAATTAGAATTGAATCCCAACCGGGTCATAACCGCCTCTAAAAAGTTTCATTCTATCCTGTCATACGCTTTGCTCATATCTGTTTTAATTGCCAAAAAATCCGTTCTACACATTCTATTAGTCTGTAAGCCATGAAACATCTCATGAGCTAATAATATATTATCTGTGATAAGCCTGCCTGAAACGAAAGCCGATTACGTTTCAGAGACTAGCCCCGGTAAAATATTTTTAAGCCTCAAGCAAAAAAAATTTGAAACTATCTTATAGCTCACAATACAATGACTTATTGGCCTAAACTCTGCCATTCTCTAAGGATTTTCCGTTTTTGGGATTAAACAAATATTTGTTTCATTTATTCTTTCATCAAACCTTCCGGTTCGGAAAAAATCTCTGACCAAACTAAACAAATCTTGTTTTAAGGAATGCCAAAACCTTTGATAAAATAAAGTTGTCATTCTATCTAGGCCTTGTGTCTTTTTTATTTATAAAAAAAATTTCGTTAATTTTTTATTCTTGGTAAACTTATTTCATTTTACGTTGACTTATTAATAAGGTTGACTTTTTGAACTGTCGATTTATATTTTAGTTATGTCGACTTAATTTTTTTTCTATTGATTTATATTAAAACATATGACTTTTTTTACTTATTTTCTTTTAAATTGAACTAACTATTTTCGGTAATTATATTTAAATTAATATTTTTTGTTAAAAATTTGAATCAAATTATTTAACAATTATTTGTAATTAGGTTAAAATAAATATAGTGTATTTAACATATCTTTTTGAAATTATCGACTAAATCAAAATATTAGAAAACTTAAATTATATATAACTAAAATTCGTAATTAATTTAAAACGAATTATTATATAAAAGTTTTACCAAATCAAGCCAGATCTAGATAATTATTTATTATAAGACTAAAATTGATAATTTATTTCAATTTATTTATAATTATATGAATTTTGTGTGTTTTATTGGTAACGTTTATGTTAATAGATTTTATTGTCGAATTTTTTTCTAAAATTTGAATTTTATCAATCAATAATTAAAACTTTTAATTAGTGGTTATTATTAATCATGGTAAATTATTTCATCATTATCTAAAATCTTAAACATAAAATTCGTGTATCTTACTTTTTTTTAATATAAACAGTTTCATTTTAATTTTAAAATAATATTTGTAAACCAAATTAATTAGTTTATTTTATTGTTTCTGAATTTTTATCATTAATTAAGAACAAATATGTCATTTTGTGCAATATATAAGGTATAATTCAAATACTAAAACTTTTTAAGATAGATTTCAAATTTCTTATGAGATATAAGATATACAATCAAATTAATCTTTAGTGCTAATATTACCATATAGGGTTATTTTGGACTTAAAAAAACCTTGATCTTTTAGTGCTATTTTAGTAAAACTGAAAAGATTTGGGCTATTTGAGTAAACTAAAAATGAGAGAATCATTTACCGAATCGGCATTTATTCCAACAAAAATTATGAAAAACGGACCATTTATCAAGACTTACAAAAACAGGTATTTAATTCTATGAAAAAGACAAAACTGCCCATGGTAAATAAGACCAGTTTTCTTTCGTTTACCTTTGTTCTCTCTCTCGTTCAGCACTTTTTTTTTTTTTTTTGCGATTTTCATATCTCTTCCTGATTAGCTCATGCTAGAAAATCATCATTCTATCGATAAAGATCAAACCTTTTGTAACTGTTGAATCTATAAACTCCTTACCTTCAAAAATCCCAGACCAAGAACCCTAATCCGTCTTCAATAGCTTTGTTAGCCGAAAAACATTCGGATCTTAGACTGTTGGATCTCGTCGCAGATCTAAAGAACCGGTGATCAAAGTTTCATCCGCCGAAAGCTAACTCGACTTTTTCCCCAACCATTCATCCTCTTCGACTTCCAAACAAATTAATGACGGTGGGGACGACGATGGTGAGTTCCATCTTGATGATGGTCATTTTTTATCGCCGTCGAACGCTTCCATCATCTCGCTTGAACCGATCACTGACTAATTTTTTCCAGGATTTGTCAATCGCAAAACATGTAATTTTCAAATTTAGATTAGATTTCTAAATGAATTAAAAGTTTTAATTCAATTAATGTTTATGATTGGAGCCCTTGGGTTTAGTAGAAATATGATCTCCTTAGGGTTTAGTTTCCATTATACAAAGTACAATTCATTGAATTTATCTATGGTGTTAGTCAGAAGAGGAAGCAAGAAATATATATAGAAGAATTCAGGGGTAAATGGATAATTTTATCTAATCTAAAAATGCCTAAAAGCGAAGCCCGTACAAATAATTCTTCATCTGAAATTTTTGGCCCAACAAATGCCCAAATTAGCAATAACCCAAAAAATAGAAGCTATGAACAAAAAAAAATGAATTAAATACGGATATTGCCATTTTTTAGTAGCATTTATGAATTTTGCTATTTTTTGAATAGTTTATGGATTTTGTCATTTCTCAGACTTTAAAAATATGATTTAACATGCGTTTAACTCGTTATGTTTGGGTTTAGTCGATTCCATTTGTTCCTAGGGTATAATATTTGATATAAAGTATGTATTTTCGCAAAAAAAAAATCGTAAATACGTTTTTTTTTTTTTGTCAATCGTAAATATGTATATTTTTAATTGTTAAAAATTGGCAAAATTCATAAACTATTTAAAAAATGGCATTTTCTCAAAAAAAATTTAAAAATGGTATTTTAGACAAGAATTAAAAAAAAAAAATTATAGACAATTTTGGCAAATACGTTTTATTTTTCCAACCTGTGCATCTGCAAATATCTGCCAAAGCACCAACCCCACCTGACTTGTCGTCTGTCTTCACTTTCATTGGAATCTCAGAAAACTTTTTTTGACTATAAAAACTCTACCACTTGCTTCTTCACTCTCACTGTGCCCTCACATCTCTTCGTCTTCTCCGATCTCTCTACGATTCATTCTTCAATGGCTTCCATTGCTGCTTCTGCTTCTACTTCCCTACAAGCTCGTCCTCGCCAACTGGTCACGATCTTTCTCTTCTTTTACTTGTTTTGTCCTGATTCATCCCATTTTGATATAGATCTGATCTGATTTATCTCGATCTAGTTATTGTTCTCCTTCTTCAATTGTAGATCTAATTTGCAGAATCGTTTTCTCATCTCTCTATTGATTCGTTGATATGGCTCTGCAGGAACTTTTACTCTCATTGATCTGATGAATCTGTATTTGCTTAAATTCTAAGAGCATGATTTTTAGTTGCTTCTGTTTTAACTTCTCTAGTATTCAAGCTGCGGGAAGAAGCTTGTCTCTCCCTGCAGATTGATATCGCTATTATGGTTGGTTGCTTTGCATCTCAGGCGATTGAGTTTTAACTTTGTACTGATGGGAAGTTATTCGAACATGATGGCAGGCGATTGCGGCTAATCAAGTTAAAAGCTTTAGCTATGGAAGAAGAAGCCATCTTTCTTTTAATCTTCGCCAGCTTCCTACCCGTTTGACTGTTTCCTGCGCTGTAAGACCTCGTCTTCTCTCGTATGATGATGTTTCTATTATACTTTTACAAGAAAATTATATAGTAGAGGTTTTGTTTTTGTTTTGCTACTCCAATTTGCTTTTTTGTTTTTCATTGTTGGTAAATAGGCAAAATCTGAGACAGTGGACAAGGTGTGTGCAGTTGTCAGAAAGCAACTCTCACTTAAAGAGGCTGACGAAATTACCGCTGCCACCAAATTTGCTGCACTTGGTGCTGATTCTCTTGATACGGTAACTTTCAAGATTCGTTTTTAAAATTCGTCTGCTCATTGTTGTAATGGATTGTTCATTGGACTTATTGATGCTTAGTCAATGCCTCTTGAAACTTGTATCCTGCTTTCAAGCTCATATTTGTGTCACCAGAATATTTAGATTGTGAGGGTCGCTGTGTTACCTTAACCTCCTTTGTGTTTATACTGTTACTGATATGCACATGCTCATGGCTCGTGTTCAGGTGGAGATTGTGATGGGACTAGAGGAAGAGTTTGGGATTGAAATGGCGGAGGAGAAAGCACAGTCAATCGCTACAGTTGAGCAAGCAGCTGAGCTAATTGAGGAGCTCTTGTTGGAAAAGGCAAAGTAGAATATCGTTTTATTACATTAGCAAAAAACCAAACCACTATCTTCTTATTGTTTTGCTAGCTAGAGAGCAACTGTGTCTGTTGAGATCTATGCTATATTTTGGTAAAATTATTACAAGGCTTGTATTTGACATATCTTTCTTCTAAAACATTTTACCTTCACCCTTGATAAAACTCTCTATCTTACGAAAGTTATGTAGTCTCCTTTTTTCTAAAAATATATTGTAGACTTTTTTTCGTTTTGTCCTCTCTACGCTAATGTTTGACGATGATGCACTAGTACTAAAACTAATAAGATAAAAGATAAATGTTTCTAATTGGTTGAGCAATCGTGTATATCCCTCGGTGCAATGGAAATTGTCAAGATGTTAGTTATAGTTCAACATAAAGGCTCCAAAACACAAGATGAATCCATAGTATCATATCAATTAATCAAGTTCTGGTGTCTATTCATGTAATATCTACAACTGTCCTGATACTCCCCGAAGCCAAAGGCAAAACACTCAGAATCACATCAACATAGTCCTTGACACAACCGGGAAAACAATGCGGTCTCCTTCAAGCCTAACCCAGTTTTGAGACTTTTAAAACTCAGCTAGCCTTTTGAATGGGACGTTTTTGAACCAAGCATAGCTTCTACTATCAGGCCAAGGAAAAGTATTTTTGTAGCGAGTGGGCTTTGGGACCAAACACCTGAGTTTCTCGTGGGCTATGTCAGGACATTGTTTGATACGGATACTTTCTATTTTGTGATTTAGGAAATTATTAGGATTTAAAAAAGAAAAATACTTACCCCTCATTAAAAAAAAAAAAAAATTATATATTGGTTTGGGTGTATAAAAAAGGGTTAGGGTTTAGATTTTACAATTAAACGAGATTAAATATCGGTTTGGATTTATAATAGAGTGTTAGAATTTAGATTTTACAATTAAACAAGTTTAAATGTCGGTCTGGGTTTATAAAAAAGAGTTAGGATTTAGATTTTGCAATTAAACGAGGTTCTATGTCGGTTTGAGTTTTATGAGGGACGGTTAGGGTTTATATTTTAAAATTAAACGAGGTTTATGTCGATTTGGGTTTATAAAAGAAGATTAGGATTTACATTTTACAATTAAACAAGATTAAATGTCGATTTGTGTTTATAAAAAAGTGGTTAGGGTTTAGATTTATAATTAAATGTAGTTTAATGATTGTTTTGGTTTTATAAAAAAAGTGATTAGGATTTGGTTTTACAATTAAATGCATTTTTATTTATTTATTATTACAGGGTATATTCTGATTGGCTAGGAAAAAAAAGGTGAATAAAGGGGTTCATATCTAGAGCTGAACCCAAGTATTGTTTGGATTTGATTCTATCTCTAACATTGTTATTCGGATTTGTATTTTGTTGTTTCCTTTTCTCATAGGGATTTACTTTTACGTTTTATTATAGGTAAGATGATGTTTTGTTTGTGAAACTCATCCAAACAATTGAGAGCTTTGGATGATTCTATCGGGGAGTTTATTATATCTACTTTTATAATAAAAGTTTTGGTTTGAATTGGATTCTATCTCTAACATTGTTGGTAGATGGAAATATCGAGAAGAAAGATATTGAAGAAAGATAGGATAAGCCAATTACCAGATTCTTTGATATGTCACATACTTAGTTATCTTTCCACAAAGGAAGTTGTTAGAACAAGTGTTTTATCCACCACATGGACAAGTCTTTGGCTTTAGGTTCCTAGTTTGGAATTGAACTCCCAAAAATTCCAAGATTTCAATGCCTTTGTGAGTTATGGTGACAAGTATTTAGAATCTGATAAAGTGTTTTGCATAGACAAAGTCAAGCTAACTATTGATGAAAGCCACGGTGGTGTAGATGATACGTCTTATTTCACATCATGGATTGATGCTCTAGTAAAGCGTAGCATCACACATCTAGAGGTTAAGTGTCTTCTAGATCTTGAGTATCATGAGATGCCCCTAATCTTTTATATCTGCAAGACACTCGTATACCTAAAACTTGCTCGGGTGAGCTTTGATGATGTCGAGTTTGTTTCTTTACCTCTTCTGAAGACAATGCATTTAAAAGATAATATGTATCCCAGTGAAGCCACTTTTGAGAGACTTGTTTCATCCTGTCCCCTCTTGGAAGAGTTAAAGATTGTTGGATGTTTGAATCATAATGCAAAAGTCTTTCGGGTTCAAGAGTTGTGATTGATGCTCATCAGCTATGCTTTTTGAGTATTTATGATTACTTATCAGAAAGCTTCAGAATAATCAATATGGATTCCAATGCCAAGTTAGATATTTCTCTTGCCTTTCCATCAATGAGAAAAAACATGCGCAGTTTTTTGCTCGGGATTTCGAAGGTCAGAGATATGACGATATGTTCAAAGACTGTAAAGCTCATCCACGAATATGTGACATCTGAACCGTTGTCTCGATTTGGTTGCGTGTCTCACCTATGTGTTACTCTCTGTGTATTCGATTTGAAATGGTTACCACCTTTTCTCGAGAGCTGTCCGAATCTGAAATCCCTTATCTTGAAATGGGAAGATAGCTCAAAGTATTTGGAGGTGATGAATTCATTCTGATTTTCATCTGTGCCTAAGTGTTTGTTATCGTCTCTCGAGTTTGTTGATTTCGAAACGAGCATCTTGGGATATGCTTCAGAAATGGAGCTGGTAAGGTACTTTCTAGTGAATTCGGCAATCCTCAAAAAACTCTCTCTACGTTTGCGCCATTATGAAAAAAGACAATATGACATCTTCAACAAACTCATCAAAATCCCAAGACGCTCTATCACTTGTCAAGTCGTCGTATCACATGGCTTTAACCAGTTTAGTATGTGAAGACTGTTAAGTTATATATTTCAATGTCCAATTTACATGTTAACAATCCAGATCAAGAAGAATATTTTTGTGCAGAATTTTAAAGTTTTGAAGAAACAATTATATCTAACGTAGCTGTTCATAATATCAAGTATGCAAAAACTAACCACAGCAATAACACATTCCTAAGTGCAAAATGCAGTTAAAACCATAAACCCTACAAACAAATGCAATTGAAAACGCAAAACGACTGCGTCTCGCTCAACGCAGAAAAGTTTTACAAGAACTGTATGTATCACGACCATATCACTAATCTAAAAACAAATATCTAGTGTTAAGAACAGAATGTATATTTAAAACTAATAACAACAAAAGAAGTAGTGTATATATATAATAGATATATATATTTATAAATACATGACAGTCTACGCAAATTTGAAAAGAATTAAAACATTTTCTCTTCGGGAAGCCACAAAGAATAGAGAGTAAACACTTACATTGTTATACATGAAGTAGTTATACACTTTCTCTTCTCAAGCCATCACTGCTCTCTTTCCTTTGCTGCTTTTGGTGTTATCTTTCTTCTTTCTGGAAATGCCCGTGATTGGATGACCCAGAGGACCTGACCACGTCTGGACTTGTGTTGGTGGTTCGTCTTTGGAAAAATTGAAAGAAGAGGATGTGAAGGATGGGACCATGTCTCGTGGGATAAATGTCGGGTCTATATGCTGTGAAGCACCCAATGGTACACCCATTGCTCCACCATCTTGGTGTGGTGGCGGAAACTTCTCGCTCTTGCTCTTTGCATTTGCGTGTGTGATTAATCTCCTTCTCTGCTTTTTAGAGTTAAAAGATAGTATGTAAATAAATGGATCAGTCTTTCTGTGCGTGTGTGTCTAGATATGCCAGAAGCAGAACAGTAGTGAAGATTTCACTGTCCTAGAGGCATAAGCATTGGTGGTATAAAACCATTATTCAGCTCACTTCCTAACATAGACAACAGCCTAAATGCACAAGGATATACAGCAAAACCTATCTATAACAACAGTACTCGTCTAGAAGCAGCCTGATTCGGGTCACAGGAATAAATGTAGAAAAGAAGAGACATTATCGAAAAGAAAACAGTTGGGAGGGACATACATCGACATTTGACTGAAGTTCTGCATTAGCTTCAGGAGCTGGAAGCGCTCGATTTGAACGATCTCTGTGCCTATTCTTCCTTGCACCATCCCCTTGGGCTTTACTAGCAGCTCTTTGTCTGCAAAGGAGAAAACTGTTAGTCGATGCATGCTGACAAATACAGTATAAAATAGCTACAAGTAATGGTGGACGCAACAATACTATCTGAATTTCCAAAATAAATGTGTTTCACTCCACTCTATCTGGATGGTAATAACTTTTATCCAGCCAAAGTCGGAGCCTCAACCGGTATATGGTATGGCCGGAAAAACTCTCCATTAAGAAAATTGAGAGGCACAACTAAATATGAAGTGGGACATGTTTTTCTTGTGGTTCATTCCTACCAGGAAATAGTGTATATACTACTCTGCTTTCCAGTATATGAATCATGATTTGAGTGGAGTACACAAAAGTATACATAACATTTCAACCATTTGCATCTTCAGCAAAAGTCATGTTAAAATTCATATATGCTGAACATGATCAATCAATTATATTGGCCTGGCATTCATGCTGAAAGAATTGCAAATGTATTTCTAGTGTCATAAGAAACAGGCTTTATCAGTTGAGGTTAGCGATGATTAAAACACTATAGAGAAAATGTTACTAACCTCCGAGTTTCTTCATCTCGTCGTTTTGCATCCATTTCTTTGCTTGGGGGATACTTTGGTAGATCAGCAGGTTCACAGGCATATGGTTCACTTGTAAAGAACTGGAAAGGAAAAAGTGCAAAGAAAACTGATTCAAACCTGCCCAGCATCATCAGACCAGTTCATGTAAAACAGCAGAAAAATCAGAACTAAGAACTTACTTCACTTTTTAGAGCAGCAGATGCAGTTTGGCGGTCTTCTGGTTCGATTGACAGAAGGGCGTCAATGAGGGGAAGAGATGATGGTGGGAAGTCTTTAAATGTCTCTCTTATGCTTCTTTTGTATGGTTCACGGGGTTTGTATATGGCTCCATGTGTGAATTTTCCCTTTTTCCAATAATCCTCTGATGGTGAACCACAGAGCTTGTAAATCTTATGGAGCTGCTCTACCTATTTCATGATGATCATAAGCATGCGGAGCCAATAAGTAATTATTCTGCATGCCGAACTCTCCAATAACATATATAGTCTTTATAAACCAGTAAATAGAAAGAAAAAAAGATAAAAAGATATTTGATCAAGAAAGTTCAAAGTACACTGCAGGGTAATAAAAGTTGGCGATGCACACTGTACC